CTTTCCTGCACTTAAGTGCTTGGATTGACTCACATTTTGTGATTTTCGACTAGTAAAAATGTTCATCGGGAATTATAAAGAGGCAGGGAAGGAAATTGAAAGCATTTGCCTTTTCAGAACGTGACTGCTTAGAAATATGCATAATTGGATGCGGGACTGCCTGACCTTGATGTTAAGGGACTTGCATCGCGCCATTGATAGCGCCAGAAGCCTTCTTATAAATATAGGAAACGTGTGGAAGTTATTGCCTTTCCAAAATCCTATAGAATAGCGTTGATGTCGATTAGGGAATTTATCCATTTACTTTAGAGATACTCGTGTTAATTAAACTGAAGGTTAAAATCGAGATGAATGGTTCCAACTAAATCTCAAGATTTGATTTCATTTTAACTCGTTCATCGATTGAGTGTGAACCAAATTCTAATTGGATTTTAATTAGTTAACTAATTAATATAATTACATTATTTCTTTTTTTGTTGCATTCCCTTTTATCATTAGTCGCTACATTTGCATTCCGCTAATCCTATAGAATAGGAGATTAGGAATTGGTTGTTTAATATAGGGAATTCACTGGTTATTAATTAAGGTTGGGGGCAAGATTAGCGTAGGGAAAGTAAAAAGTTTAAAAACTAAATCATTAATAGGACATGGACAGATTCCTTTTTTGTGTGGTTACTTGTAGTTCCCAAAACCATCCTTGCATGTGCAAACACACGCAATCTTTTTTTGTAAAAAGCGTTTTTTTTCCCTTTTTTGTGCTTAAACGAGAGGGACGGTTCGGAACATCTTACTTACACTCCCTCTCGTCAATCAGTATTTCTGCTCATATAAATATACATAATCACTGCTATTATTACATTTTCTTTAATATTTAATTACTTTTTCTAAATTAATTATTCTTTCTCAAAAAAATTAACAAGCAAAACTTGTCTCTAACGAACGAAATGAATGCTGGCGGGGCACTTGTTTGTCGAAACTGATAAATTAATTTATCATAAAAATTTGTTCTCCTGATAAGAAAAACGGGGTCCTAGTTTCTTGAAAGCTACATTGGAAGCTACGGAATGCAAGGCGAGATCATGCGTTGTACCAAGCGAAAGGGCAAAAATGATTAGGACACGAAAGATCGTCCGGTGGAACTTCGTGCAATAGAGAGGACGAATCACTTGTCCCGTCAATATTACAAAAAATGGAGAATGTACCGCTGCTGTATCTATCACGTTCATCATCGTCCCAAGACCAAGAGAAGAGAGAGCGCTGAAGCTGGACAGAGATTATTGTGGCGTGGTGTACTGGCAAGTGAAGTAGGTTGGACACCGGAAAATGAAAATACACAACCACCACACCCAACACCTTTAATATGCTGGCAGAGTTGAACCAATTCTACAAATTTGATGACCCAATTTGGGATGCTTTTGATTTCCAATTTTTGCTTAATTATTCTTAGTTCTTGAATTGGTCATCAAGTTTCCTTCGTCTTTAGTACACCAAAACGTTCAATCTTCTATAAAATCAAGAATTAATAATTTGGTTGTCTTGAGCTAAGGAAAAAAAGGGTCTGAATTCGTATGGTTTTCCTCCAAAATTGGATTCTGTGCAATGGAAATGTTAATAATGATTGCTACATGATACTAATACATATTTGTAGATACAATATAAAATTTTAGTAGTTAGTTGAAATGTCATTATGACGTCTTAGTCAATCACTATCTACTTTAGTCTTTAGTCCAAAAAAAAAAAGAAAAAAGAAGAAGAGGATTTTGTGCATTTCTTGATTAGCGTTGGAGAACCTATTAAACATTAGACCAAAGCTACTCAAAACTGTCTTTCATTTATCTTTCTAAAATAAATGAAAAGCAAAACCACTTAATCTAAAGGATGATAAATTTAACAAAATAATTTAATGAAGTTTTAATTAAGTATCTATTACTACTACAACATCAAATTGCCCTTTTCATTTGCGCGGCCAAATAAAAAAATCCAGCTTCAACTCCTTTCCTTCTTTTGTCTTTTTATGGTGGACCACGCCCCAAACTAGTGGTTAAGGATGCCAGCCAATCAGTTGATAAATTAATGCTAATTTTTGGTAAAGCCAAATTTTAGGCTTGATGTTTGGATTGCAAATTTTTTTTAAAAAAAAATTTCTGTAAATATATTTTTTAATTATTATTTTTTATTTAACACATATCAAATTATAAAAATTCTAAAAAATAGCATAAGAGAACTAAGCTCACAAACAAATTATTACTACTTGTTTCTTTGTCTAGTCTAGTACAAAAAAAAATCTTCTTCAGACCAAAAATTGGAGCAAGTAAGAAAGAAATAGAGAGTCGTGTAGACTAATATATATAAGCATTCTCTGGTCCGTTAAGAGTATAGCCCTTATTGGCTTACTCCACCCCCCATGGAAATGGAGAAGAAAAGTAAAACCCTCCCCATCAATTCTCGAACCAAGCCGCGTTTGACCTTGTAAAACCCGTCCACCAAACCTCCTCGATTGCTTGGAATTCTTCTCCTTCTTGGATCCCAGCTCCCATTCAAAGATAATAGTGGTGGCATCTCGTCCAACTCCCTGATTCATTTCTTCTTCTGGGATTTGAAAGTTCATTTCCATTTAGGGTACTGGCCCGGGTTCTTCTTTCTTTTCTTTCCTGTATTTTTTTTTGGCAGGGTTTTGCAGGTTTGACTTCTGATCTGGGCCTAAAGAAGCCGTAGATGGCGGACATAGTGAAGCAGATCCTTGCAAAACCAATACAATTGGCCGACCAAGTGACCAAGGCGGCAGACGAGGCTACTTCTTTCAAGCAGGACTGTGCGGAGTTGAAAGGTAAAGCTGAGAAGCTGGCGACGCTGCTACGCCAAGCTGCACGCTCTAGCAGTGAACTCTATGAGCGGCCAACAAGGCGGATCATCATTGATACGGAGCAGGCGCTGGACAGAGCTCTTGCACTTGTGTTGAAATGCCGTGGGAATGGTCTTGTGAAAAGGGTTTTCGCCATCATCCCCACCGCCGCAGTTAGGAAGATGTCTTCTCAACTTGAGAATTCGATTGGTGATGTTTCTTGGCTTCTCCGGGTTTCCACCCCGGCCGAGGACAGGGGTGACGAGTACTTGGGGCTTCCGCCTATTGCCGCGAATGAGCCTATTTTGTGCCTTATTTGGGAGCAGATCGCGATTTTGATTACTGGATCCTTGGATGATCGATCGGATGCTGCGGCTTCACTGGTTTCTTTGGCTCGAGATAATGACCGGTACGGGAAATTGATAATTGAGGAAGGTGGGGTAGGGCCCTTGTTGAAGCTAGTCAAAGAAGGGAAGCTCGAGGGTCAGGAGAATGCTGCTAGAGCACTTGGGCTTCTGGGACGCGACCCTGAAAGCGTCAAAGACATGATACATGCTGGTGTTTGCTCGGTGTTTGCGAAAATCCTCAAAGAAGGCCCGATGAAAGTTCAGGCGGTGGTGGCCTGGGCGGTGTCAGAGCTAGCAGCTCATCACCCAGATTGCCAGGATCTTTTCGCCCAAAATAATATCATAAGGTTGCTTGTGAGCCATCTTGCGTTTGAGACCGTGCAAGAACATAGCAAGTATGCAATTGTTAGCAAGGCTACTTCGATCCATCAAGTTGTTTTGGCGAGTAACAATAACTCGTATGCTGCTAATAATGTTGCCCATAAGCAGGTTGAGGATGATGAAAAGAGCAGGCTTCCGCACCCTCTGGGGGATAGACAGCCCTATCAGATGCATAGTGTGGTTACTACTACCATGGCTATGAAGGATCAGCTTAAACAACACCAGCAAAAGCCGAGCGACGGAGCAAACCAGACGAGTCTTGCCAAGAGCAATGGGAATGGGACTGTGAAGCAGAATCATGTGAATCATCATCATCAGTCAAGTGTTCCTCTGTCCGGCGTGAATAATAAAGGGAGGGAGTTGGAGGACCCTGATACTAAGGCTTATATGAAGGCAATGGCTGCGAGGGCACTCTGGCAACTTGCCAAGCGTAATTCTCCCATTTGCCGCAGCATCACTGAATCAAGAGCTCTATTGTGCTTTGCAATCCTCTTAGAGAAAGGCTCTGAAGAGGTCCAGTACAATTCTGCGATGGCATTGACGGAGATTACCGCCGTAGCCGAGCTGGACGCAGAACTGAGAAGAGCAGCATTCAAGCCTAATTCACCTGCCTGCAAAGCTGTCATTGATCAATTGCTGATAATTATCGAGAAGGCTGATTCAGACCTGCTCATTCCCTGCATCAAGTCTATTGGGAATTTGGCTAGGACTTTTCGGGCAACAGAAACAAGAATGATATCCCCATTAGTAATGCTGCTTGATGATAGAGAAGCTGATATCTCCAGGGAAGCTTGCATTGCCTTGAGAAAGTTTGCTTGCACGGATAACTACTTGCACCTGGATCACTCCAAGGCTATAATAAGCGCAGGAGGGGTAAAGCACCTAATTCAACTCGTCTACTTTGGCGAACATGTTCAGATTTATGCATTGGAACTTCTGTCCTACATTGCATTACACGTCCCAGACCATGAAGAACTTGCCCAGGCTGAGGTGCTTACAGTGCTCGAGTGGGCATCCAAGCAGGCATTCCTGAACCAAGATGACTATATAGAGAGTGTGTTGCAAGAGGCCAAGGGTAGGTTGGAGCTCTATCAATCCAGAGGCTCAAGAGGATTCCATTAGGTTCCATGTCAATGTGCACAATTTGTATCTTCTTTAAATTAAGAATTCATGTAATGGAATTCTATTTCTTATTTTTATGGAGTGTACATAAGATTACCTCTTACCTCTTATTGTAATTCTTTAGGCAAGATCTTTATTTGCCTTGTCATTTCTTCTTCTTCTTCTTTTTTAATTTTGATTTTTGGTTTCCATGTCTTGTTCTGTATCTCATTTTTGAGATGTAATATTACCTCCAAGACACAGTGTTAAGCATTACTTGGAGATATTCTTTAGTTTGGTTGAGGTTATGATTTGCCAAGAAAAAGAGGTTTTTTTTTTTTGAGGAACCAAGAAAAAGATGTTCATTTCCCCAAATTCTCTTGTGACAAACTGGAAACGAGGACTTTATAATGATAGAGAGACTCATGATGGCTCTACTGGAATTGATAAGGTAAATGTAAAGGCCCTGTTTCAAACCCCGTCGTAGTGGGCTGAGTCTTGACAGAAACAAATGCAGCGGACGAGAAGCAGACTTGTGAACCTGAGATTCTTTTTGCGTACAAAATGAATAGTCGGAGCAGCTGTTCAATTGCAGGGTACTACCACGTAACAGTTGAGCACGATCTTCGTTGATTTTCTTTTTGTCGTGTGGAATAATAACAATAATGTCTGAGAAACATAAAAAGAGGCAGAATATGATCGCTAATTTGTTGACTGAAAACTTTTAGGTGGACTTGTTCAATCTGACTTGTATAACGAGTTGTGGCTGCAACATGCTCAGTTATCACTTATCAAATGCACGTTGGCAAAACATTTACCTAATTCTCTCAAACTCCAACCACAACTATATGGTATATTCTTCTGGTTTATAACACGGATCACGACTTCTGCACCAAATTTTAGTGCATTGACCCTCATATTATGTTGGAATATAAGTTCTTCAGGGCCTGACATTTCAAAGCGTCTGTTATTCACTAGATTATTCAGGTTGCAGATAAAGAACAAGATGAAATGAAGGGTATGGGGTTGGTTTCTCAGGTCGGAAAGCAGAGGGAAGAGGCAACTAGCAGGGGAGGACCAATAACAACTGTTTGTCACTTCACTCAACTACTTCACATTATACCCCATTTTTGTAAAATGAACCTCCACGATGTAAAATGGCATTGATACACAAGCAATTCGATTCACCACGCATAGAGTATTTTTCCATCTCTGTCACCATCACGAAAGCTTTACTACTTGTCTGGCTACTTAAAACACCTAATCAAACAGAGGCACCATACTGATGGCTCCTCGGCTCGCAATCCAGGTCCAGCCGGAGCTGGAGGTCTGAGTAGGGACCACTTAGGCCACTGCATAGCTGGCTTTAGCAGAAATCTAGGGCACGCTACAAATGTTCTAGCTGAACTCTGGGGAATAAGGGATGGCTTATCCCTAGCTTCATCTCTTAATTTGCAAAATGTTGAACTAGAACTTGATGCTACTACTGCTTTACAACTAATAGAATCTGCAGATATGATATCTCCTCTCATGAATAGGTTTCCATTATTTCTGACTGCAGATTCTTGATCTCTGAACTGCCGAGAGTCACTCTTAGGCATCTTTACAGAGAAGCAAATCATTGTGCAGATCATTTAGCAAAGCTGGGTGCTCAGCAAGATAGGACTTTTGTTTAGTTAGATTAGTACTAGAAGACATCAGGGGAACTTGCTTCTCCCATTCTGGACCTATAACTTAGTTTGAATTTAACATATGCTCCTCTTACCAAGGGAAAAAAAGAAGAAGAAGAGGGGTAACAGGAGCTCCCCTGTTACTTTGTGTTAAGAGAATGACAGCTCACTTGTCCCTTTCAGACAAGACCCATCATTCCTCAGAAAAGAATTGCAGGGAAAGAGGTTTCAGTGCTAACAGGCATGAATCTGAAGCAATCTCATGTGTCTGCATTAGCACAGGCACAGAGAAATGTAGACAGTTGAGTTCCATTAGTTTGTTCTTTGTTGTTAATCAGACATGAAAGTATCATTCTCCAACATTATGATACAGAAACCTCGTTAGTTCTTTAGAAGAATATAATAGCAGTTAATCTCAAGCAGGCAGTACCTTAGGAGATCAAAACTTGAACATACTCGATGAGCAAGAGCAGTTGCACTTGTAATGCATGAGTAGTACTGGAGGTAAGATACCTAACAATTAGTTGTCCTCGGTAGTTCTATCAATGAAACAGAAGGTGATGTTTCACAACCCTATCCCCAAAAAATATTCTATAATGCTGTAAAATAGATTAAACCAATTTAGTAATAATTAATCTGTCAAAAAAGGTATGCGAGGAACTACCAGAATGGTAGAATTGAGTTCCAGGACTTAAATATGCTAGTCTAGGGAGCTAGATATCAAGGAAATCGTACAAGATGCTGACTTTACCTTGGCAGTCAGAAGTAGGAACTCTGATGAATAAGGATCTTGAAGAAGAAACAGCATTCTAATTGTAACTTATCATGTGTTGGCATTCCGTGCATAAGCTGGCATTCCAAAGATTCTTTTGTAGCCAATTTCTTGGTTTGATTATGGGCTGTGAGTTGGATCATGCGATGAAATCAGGTAGGAGATTATCCAGGAAGCATTTTAATCAAATTGACAGTGCATGTAGAAATCCTTTCTTGCCTCCCTTCAATGTTGCCATCATCATTATCCTCTTCTTCCTTTTAATTCTTTATTCTGTTTTTCATTTTTCCCTTCAGGACATGCAGATATAAGTTAAAACATGAATTCGTAGGAGAAGATAAACTAAAAAAGAAAAAAAAAACCTGTTCTTAAGACCAACTAAAACTGAGGCTAAACTAAGTTTCACTATTTAGTTGGTAAATCAAATTATTGGCTAAACTAACAGGCTGAGTCAACTACATATGTAGCTATAAGCTAAACTTTATTGCAGGAAATCATCACTTGACTGTATTAACAATTGAATTTCTGATTCACTAAACCAACTAAAAAGAAATTGCTTAAACTAGTTAAGCTTTAGGCTAAACAAACATTGACAGTAACTGGTTACAACTGCTGCTAGATAATTTTATAACCCTGACTCTCATCTGTACCGTATCAACCGTAATTTGAATTTTATCTACAAGTTTATCTCAAGATAATTGATTGGTCACCTTATGACAACAAGAATAGCATAAACTGGACAAATCGTGCTGAAGACAATAGACACTGTTACTCTGAGACTATAAGTTAGGACAGGAGTGAACCAGTATGTATACTAATATATAACCAAAGAGAGTATTAGAAAATGGATGAAACATTTTAGGGCTGTTTAACCTGCATAAGAATTCTGTTTCCGGATGTATCATAAACAGAAAAGGAAATACATGCCAAACTCATCCATGAAGAAAGGAACAATTGCAGACTATGAAATATTTATGCATTGGAGGTCTTAATTTTAAACAAAAATTTCCAATTTTATATAATTTACAAGACCACATTTTTTTTTCAATGGTGCAAGTGAGAGAGATCGAACCTACACTCCCTCTCCCAAACCCCCCATTTACAAGACCACATAAAAAACCGAAAGAGAAGAAACTATTCATCATCTGCCCTTTCAATCAAAAACCACGGTCATAAATTGCTATAGCAACAACTATATATACAGCATATATCATTAGTTTTATTAAACATCTGAATAAGATCAAAAGTCAATAATTTTTTGTTTTCTACAAATAAATTTTTATAATTTATGAGCTGTTGCATTACTAGTTACGTAATTATTATACCCTCATTTGCAAATCAATGAATCTGACAAAAAGAAAAAACCATCTAGACTCTTGTAATTGTTCTATGCCTTCCTCCTCCGGAACAGCTCAAGAGAAACTCGTCCCAATCAAACAAGCCATTAACATCAACTTTTACCAGGGATTCGAAATACCAGCTTAGCCCCAAAGAGCAAATAAACGAAAAAGGCACTACTCACATGTGAGATAATTGATATTCCAGCCCAGCTGGAGGTGGCGGGTGCCTGTTGAGATTGAACGACGGAGTATGCTGCAAGTTAGTTCGGACCTAGGAACTTGGAGCTTGGGGTAGAAAAGACGGCAGTAAGAATTTGAGCTGTAATAATAGCCCTCTGTAATACGGATCGAGTCCATAATCAACTGTTTGGGATCGATTCGTCAAGGTTTAATTCGAATTTGTATTGTTAATATGGCACTAGTTTTTTATATTTTTATTTAGAAATTAATTAATAGTTTACTATAAAGCTAATAAAAATAAAATAATATTTTGAGCTTTCAAATTGAAATTGAGCCCATCAAATCGAACTCTATCTTAAATTTTAAATTCATACAAAATTTAGACTCAAATTTGAACTCAAGTCCAAATGTTCAAATCAAGTTTGATGTCTTAAAAGTTCATTTAACTTCATTTGTTTACAGCCCAAATTAAATACGTATAATTTTTTTTAAAGGTGGAATTCAAGATAATTTATTTTAAAGCAAAAATTTCCCAAATTTTATATGAGCACACGTGAATTTTAGATACCAGAGAGATAAAAATACAAAACAACAAGAGTAGTTTTTGGATAGGAGATTATTAACCCAATTCTTCATTTGGTAAAGTATCTACCAGCTAATTTTCCATGAGCTGCCACTTAGCACCGAGTCATTGTGTGAAAAATGTGAAAGTTCTCATTTGAATTGCTATTCTTTAGAATTTTATAGAAAAATATATTATAACGATTTGACGTATATAAGATAGAAAGATAATTCGAAAAGGTATTAACAATTTTTCGTTTAAAAACTACAATTCCTACTAGAAAAATATTGAACAATGGCACTTTGCAGCTCCGCTATCGGGTCTCTGTCAAAATTATCAACTTTCTTTATAATTCCAGATAAATTTCCCTAATTACTCAAGGTGATTTTAGAATGTACTGATTGTACAGAGTGTGTTTGGATTGCTGAATTATCTTACATAATATTTCGCTTGCTAAATTATTCTAAATAATTACTCACGATCATTATTTTAAATAATATTCTATTCAAATACATTGAGTCTCGGATATATTACTCAAAAGAATCGGGGCAATATGTCCAATCAATTAGAATTAAAAAAAATTCTGTCCTTATTGTTACGAGCATATGATTCATGGGGAGGTAAAGAAATATATCGAACTGAGTATCTATACGTTCTTCTCCTCTCAAGGAAAGGGACAAAATGACATTATATATAACATATCTGGATAGAAAATTAAAAAATTCAATTTAGGATAGCATTTCCAAAGACCGATATTGCTTGATTTCTGTTACTTTAGCGCCCTCATGTGACCATTCACAATTGAGATCTTTTTGCCCATGGAATCAAGAAAAACAAAATATTACAACCAACCTTTTGGCGACAGATTGAGACTGCAATATACAGAATCAATGAGGTTAAGATTTTAGAGTCATACATTCACTATATTGCTTATCCTCAATGCCAGCCACTGCATTGCCTTTCAAACCACATCCACCCAATCCATAATCTCAATACAATCTTGCATCCCACTTCTTCCTTTTGCACCCCCTTCTTCGTCAAAACATTAATCTTTACTTTGCTATCTTCTTTATACCACCACTTCACTTCTCGCTTATTTTCTTCTCCATCTTTTTTTTTTTTTGTACTCTAATCATCATGGCTACTGCAGTCACTGCTGCAGTGTCACTTCCATCCTCCAAAACTTCTGCTTCTCTTTCATCCAAAACATCAATTATCTCACCAGAAAGAATCAATTTCGTTAAGGTTTCTGCGTTTGCCTTTCCCTTTTCTTGCCATTCTTAACATTTGATTCTCCTGAAAGAATCAATTTTGTCTAATGCGGGCTACATTATCTATCTGCGCAGGTTCCTCTGTACCATAGAAATGTGTCTATAGGCAGGAAATTGGTTTCAATCAGAGCTCAGGTCACCACTGAGGCCCCTGCGAAAGTACAGAAGGTTTCCAAGAAACAGGAAGAAGGTGTTGTGACAAACAAGTACAAACCAAAGGATCCATATATTGGCAGATGCCTCCTTAACACTAAGATCACTGGTGATGATGCGCCTGGAGAGACTTGGCACATGGTCTTCACCACTGAGGGTATATATCTTAAGATGCTTCTTGCTTCGTCAGTCAGTTTTAGTATTTATTTGATGGCTACATTGGAATTGCATCAGCTTTTGATTTTAAATTGTATATTTTAGTCCACTTTACCTGATCATCATATTGGATTGATCAGGGGAACTCCCTTACAGGGAAGGTCAATCAATTGGGGTTATAGCAGATGGAGTTGACAAGAATGGAAGGCCTCACAAGCTGAGGTTGTACTCAATTGGTAGCAGTGCTCTTGGTGACTTCGGGGATTCCAAAACTGTATGTGTTTGTGGAACTGTAGTCATGTTTGTTGTATTTACGTTCACTACTTTTTGAGGCACGATTATGAGCCGATGCCTGAAATTATAATGCAGAGATGACCTGAGTCTAGGTTTTGATTGCAATCTGAGCAATTTAGCAGATAGCACCATGCTTATATATTCTCCTCCTTGTTAACAATGGTGTTCCTATTTTATGCTATTGAAACAGTCGTACCTTAATCCTTTATATAGGTATCTCTTTGTGTCAAGCGGCTTGTCTATACAAATGACCAAGCGGAAATTGTTAAAGGAGTTTGCTCAAACTTCTTGTGTAAGAACTCAGAATTCCCTGATGTATATTATTTCATAACATTAGTAAAAGAAAAAAACTGTTGTGCATAATTTCAACGAGGTTCTAGAAGAATGTAGAAGTAGCTTGTAATTGTCCTTGTGTGGAACTTGGATTGTTGCTTTGCATCAGGCGATCTGAAGCCTGGAGCTGAAGTAAAAATCACTGGACCTGTCGGGAAAGAAATGCTAATGCCAAAAGATCCAAATGCTACCGTTGTTATGGTATGATATGTGTCACGTTATACATTGTGTTATCATTTACTTCATCACGATGTGTATATTTCAGCCATCCAATAGATGAGCATTTTTATGATTCAAATGCATCCTTGCAGCTTGCCACTGGAACAGGAATTGCTCCTTTCCGTGGATTCTTATGGAAAATGTTCTTTGAGAAGCACGACGATTACAAGGTAAATTGTTATTGCCAGTATTCGCGACTCTTCGAAGATCCCTTGAAAAAAATTGTGCAGGAGAGGTGTCATCAGGGAAGAAACGGAAAAGTCTTGTTTCGTTTGTTGAAAAAAAAAAAGAAAAAAGAAATGTCTTGTTTGGTTCCAGCTATCGTAGTGTATCTTGTTTTTGTGTCATCGAATATCTTGTTTTTTGTTTCCATAGGGATGGGAAGCAAAAGGTTGAGCTTAGTAGTTGGGGAATGACCATTTCAACGCTTATGTGATGTTTATCTTGTGAGAAACTTATTTCACAGTTTTCTCAGCAGCTTTTAGAGCTAGCAGCGTTTACAACTAGTTGTATCTTTGTGTCCTGACTCCTGACTAGTAACCATTTCCGTCTAAAATAGTAGTGTATTACAAACACTTCTTCTGTGAATAATGCAGTTCAACGGATTGGCATGGCTTTTCTTGGGTGTTCCCACCAGCAGCTCATTGCTATACAAAGAGGTAAAAACATCAGTAGTGACAATTTAACACTACTGAGTGCAAGGTGCAAGGTGACCTTAACACTAGTTGTTATGCTTGTTAGTATTAGTTGAGGACATTTTTTTTTGGTGTTAATGATTGCGCCAGGAATTCGAGAAGATGAAGGAAAAGCATCCAGACAACTTTCGACTAGACTTTGCAGTGAGCAGAGAGCAAACCAACGAGAAAGGTGAGAAGATGTATATCCAAACCAGGATGGCTCAATATGCAGAAGAGTTGTGGGAATTGCTCAAGAAAGACAACACCTTCGTATACATGTGCGGGCTCAAAGGCATGGAAAAGGGAATTGATGACATTATGGCGTCATTGGCTGCTAAAGATGGTGAGATTGTGTCGACATCATATTTCGTCTTTTTCTTCCCAGTACTCAACTTTTCCTTCTGCCTTTCTTTCAGGGATCGATTGGGCTGAGTATAAAAAGCAGTTGAAGAAGGGCGAGCAATGGAATGTGGAAGTCTACTAATTTTTGCTTTCTTCTTGTACAAAAAATAAATACATGTCCATTATGTGATTTTCTCTGCGTTCATGTAGATAGGTAACTCTCTTTCGGTAATATTATTTTTTTCTTCCTTTTCTTATACTTTCTTCTTTTGATTTTCGATTTTCAACTCCTTGTACTGCTGTTGACTCTCTGAAGATCCCTAAAGTTTTGAGGGGCCGGATCGTGACCGATACGAAACTTGAATTCCTTTCCGCAGGTTTTTGTTTCTTGATAAATTATGCTCATTAATTTTTTTTTTTTTGTGGTTGTAACTGTAGATTAACACAGAATTAGTATTTTAGGCCGGATTTATATTTTAACTAAAAGAATAATATAGTTTTATATTAAATTTTACTTGAAAAAAATCCAAAAATTTCGAAGTGGCTCTAATTTTAGAGCCAATTTCTACCTTAAATATGTCTTCGTAAATAAAAAAAACTATGAAACTGTTTGAAGAATTGTTGTGTTTAATTGTCATATATATATATATATATTTGCAAATTCATATATTGTTTCTCCTATTATAGAAAAATTCCTTTCTTTAAAAGTTGAAACATTTGTCGATCACACGGCTTTACTTTTTATCTTGGGTAGGGTTTGCAAATTTTAGTTGGGATAGCTGTACCAAAAGATTAGAATTTTTTTTTTGAACTTATTAGTTAATTTTGCTAATTAGCTAGATTGTTTGAATTTGTATGTATAGATGAATTTGGATTAGGCCCTACAAAGTAGATCAAAGTGTTGATTCAGTCCTTGAAAGCGAATTAGTCCAAAATAAACCCTCCAATTTGGAAACTTATTTGTTCACAGATGAGCCTTAACATCAACTCGTTTTCGGTCAATTTCTTTTACCAATTTTTAGTGGTAATGTCACAGCCAGCTACTAATTTTGGGGGGTTTTGAAGCAATTAATTTCCTGCCACGACGAAATTTCTAATTTTGAGGGGTGAATTAGAAACTTTCTCGTTGCTGAATGTCTCTCAACTCTCTACAAAACGGCAACTTCTCTTTAGAATTTTGGTTGCCCTTTTAATCATTGCTAAGCGCACAAAAGGACTTTGAACAGATACAACAAATGGTTAGCTGATCATTTGCTAGAATTATAGATTTACACGAAAGTTCCAAATTGAGACAAATTTGGAGTCAAATTACAAAATGAAACCGAGTTTTGAATCAAATTGTCTTTTCCTTTTAATAAATTCCTCTGTCGAGAGAAAATGGAAAAAAAAAAAAAAAAAAGGGGGAACACTAACTTTAAGATGCCAAACCCACTCGACCAAAAAAACCCATAAAATCCGCTGGAAGGAAAAGTTTTTTCCTTCTTTCTTTCCATAAAAATTTTTCCAAGTAAGTATGTGAAAAAGGCGAGAGTGCAGCCCTAAGTAACAAGTAACGAGAGCCCATTCACTAGTGGAGTGGTATTTAGTAATACTCCTCGCTTAAGCAAACTCTAAAGCGCCGAATAGCTTATTAGGGTTGTCCCCTCTATAAATTACTGCCGGTATCTTCCTAAATCTGTCTTCTTCTCTCAATCTAAAAGCTATTTCTATATATCTACATAGATTTCGCCCCCAACATCTAGGGCTCTTTTTTTTTTCTTTGTTTTGGGGTTCGGCAATTCAATGGCGGAGGAGAATGCTAGGTCGAGGGGGGTGGTGGTGAAGTTTCGGGATGACAAGGGTTTCGGCTTCATCAAGCCCGACGATAGCAGCGAGCATCTCTTCGTTCATCAATCTGAGATCAGATCTGACGGCTATCGTACCCTTAGGGAGGGTCAGCTTGTCGAGTTTTCGGTCATATTAGAGGCCAATAAGACCAAGGCCGTTAATGTCACTGGCCCTAATGGAGCCCCTGTTGATAACTCCCGTGGTGGCCGCGGCGGCGGCGGAAGCCGCGGTGGCTATGGGTTTTCCGACGGCGGGTATAACAGGAGGAATGGGAATGGTTATGGGTTTCGCGGAGCCGCCGGCGGCGGCGGCGGCGGCGGCGGGGAGTGTTATAATTGTGGAAGGGCTGGGCATTTAGCTAGGGATTGTGATAGGATGCCCTCCTCTGGTGGCGGCGGTGGAGAGTGTTATACCTGCGGCAGGATTGGGCATTTGGCTAGGGATTGTGATAGGAGTGCTGGAAATGGTGGCAGCGGCGGCGGGGGAGGCTGTTTTAAATGTGGCGATTATGGACATTTGGCTAGGGATTGTTCACGCAGTGGTGGAGGTCGTGGTGGAGTTGGTAGTGGTGGTGGTGGTGGCGGTTCGTGCTTTAGGTGTGGGGAGCAGGGGCATATGGCAAGGGACTGTACCAGTGGCGGTGGAGGTAGCAGTGGCGGCGGTTACTCGAGGTTTACTATTGGTGGAAGCAAGTGCTACAACTGCGGGGAGACGGGTCACTTTGCAAGGGAATGCACTAACACCGCATGAAGAAATTGAATAGGAGGAACAATCATAGTAGCAGTTATGAGTTATCCTTTTCTGCTGTTATTAATTTCGTTCTTTAAATAGTTTTTGACATCCTTTTGCTTGCTAATGTTTTGGTGGGTTATATACATATGATGGTGATTTTGCGGAATAGCTTTTGTTATGATTGGCTTGGCGATCCACTGTTGTTTCTGTGAAGGAGAATTTTCTCTGGGATTGGTATAAAAGTATATAATGGTGGTTCAGTTTTGATAATGTCTTGAATATGGGCCTAATGGCAGATTTGGATTTTTTTTCACATTAATCTATAAAATGTCTTAAATTATCTATTTGGCAGATATTGTACTGCGATATTTACTGGTGCAACATAAAAGTCCTTTTGGTAAGGAGCTGTGATGGTGGTTCCTTCCCTGATTGTTGTGCTTTTGATGATGTTCTACTTAATGTTTATTGGAGTTAATTAGTTTGCATTAGCTGGTACTTCCAAGTTTGGCATTGGATCATCCTGTGTCTGTGTAGATGCTTTGATTATTGGCACTTGGATTTCGAGCTTTTCTCTTGGTGCAATGGATGATTATGGTGACTAGATTATTATTTCAGTTTAAACCTTTATTTGGTTGGAATAAATCGGTAAATTTGTTATTCTTATTTTTTGGCATAATCAACATATTCCGGGGTGTGTTTTTTTAACTTGGTTTGGGAAGCTGAGATTCACAATCCTAAGGCAAGGAGCAAATCCTGAATCTATGAGTTTATGAAATGTCATTTGTAGTGGTACAGGAGAAAAAGAAAAGATCAAAAGAAAGCGGAAGAAGAGATTGGTCATAGTCTAGTTCTTCTAGGTCACTTCCATAATGAGCTGGTTTTTTGAAACTTTGCTTTCTTCTCCCGTTCAATTCTTTTTGTAAATCTCCAATCTTTTATTAATCAAAATAAAGTTGGGCACAATTGTTAGCCTACAAAAAGGAGCTGAATGCATTTTTGTGATTGTAACTAGCCAAATGAGTTTGTCTTGTCTCAATTTTTAATGACTTGTGTTGGTAGGGTCCAAATATCGAAGTGATAGTTCTTCTATCACTTGGATATGAATGTTGATAAGTGATGCATATTGGCCGTGCCGTGCCATTCAGTTTGTGTACGCTTGATCACTTTAGAGGTTGGAAAGCAATTCTAGGCTAGGATCCTATATCGGCAAAAATGAGTTTCTTGTGGTATTGTTTTCTTTCTGATCCGGAACACTATGGCATTGGGTCATTTGGTACCCAGCTATACAGTCACCCATGATTCAGTAAAACTGGTTATTGGATCTTGAATGTCGTTTCACTTTGCTTTCATTTAATAAGGAAGCGTAACTGAATTAGATGTTTTAACTGCATTGGTAAAGAAGCATATCCCTGTATTCTTTGAATAGGGACGTAGTCGTGTCTTTGCATGTCAGCATTCCAAACAGGTGAGCACCAGTCCTGAATGTTCATGGATTATTTGTCCGGTTTGTGTCCTAGATAGATATCAATGCTAGATGAAAGGATTCATTCTGTCTGGAGATAACTAATCCTTTAGTTTGTCAATGGAGCACAAAACAATTTCGTTTGTTCCCTCAATGGAATTTGTAAGTAGGCGGAAGAGAATCATTCATTTCGTTGGAAACAGATTTCCGCACTCGCTGGATGAATGCATCAATTGCCTCAGAGGTAGGCTTTGAAGTAGAAAATAGTGAAATATATAATTTAGTGCGGAAAAGAGGTTAAGTATGGAACTATTGATGTCGGAAATTGGAATGTTATCATTGATTCATAATTTTATGCTAACTATCTGAAATCTTTACATAAAGCCGGTTCATGATAGGCAGGCAGGTATTCTTATTTACAATCCTTCTTCGTCCAACACAATCCTCTCCTCTCCCTGATTCATTATAGCTTTACCTAATCCTGAAGAAGCAAATGCGCCATCATTATCCAAAAGATGTTTGCCCAAAAATAAACAAGAGGATTAAAACGCATGAGATGCAAGTGTTCATAGTTTTCTGTCGTGGATTCTTTGACTTCACAAAGTATGCTGGAGATTTGTAGCCGCTTCACATAAAAACCTGAGCCCAAGTCCGACATGGTGTGATCACACCATGTTAAGCGATAACATTTACTTCATGTCCAAGTTTTCATATTCATGCGCACAAAAAAGACACAAGCAAACAAACGGGTATACCGTTTTCCACACAGTAGAAGCAATCAAAAGACATTTTGTCCACAAATGCATGTGCAGGCTGAGGTAAAAAGCGTGTTCCTTCCTGCTTAAAAATCGTCGTCATGACGGTTGGTAAAATGGATTTTTATAGCCACATACTTCCGATGCAAGTGCACCTACTCTTATCCAATGTCTCTGCATCTCACAGCAGCCAAGGCAAGGGGTGATGACTGATCATTAAAGTAGAATTATTAGTTTTTATGAGGACGAAAAGGAAATTATATAAAGTGGCAATAAAAAAAAAAAAAAATTTTACGCCAAATCCTCTAATTTCACTGTAACGGCAGTAGGGTCAGCTAACATAATTAAGTGCGACTCACACAGACAGGCAAAACGTCATTGGGCTGAACCCGACGGCAGCATCATCATCATCTTCCCTATAAATAAAACAATTGGAGCCCACCCACCCCTTCCCTGCAGAAGCCCACCGTCCAGTCCCATGTCCATCTTGTCCAATGAGCTCTATTCCCAGCCCTTCAGTTCTTCAGGAGCCCACCGGAAACAGTACTAAAAATTAACCGTATCAAAACAGGCTAAAGTAAGATACTACTCGTAATATAAAGCATCTGATCCGATAATGATTTAGCTCCTTCGAATTTTCATTGATCCTCTTGAATTGACCTCTTTCTGTTTCTGTTTAGTGTAGGGCAGGAGTAACCATAGTATTGTTACTGCACCACTGCTGCTACAAGTTCCAAAATTCGTCTATTTAACTCCGCCAGCCTGCCTCCAATCTATGCCTCTCTCCCTCCCGCTGGCTCTCCACATTGACATCGTCCAAACACCAAACCTCTGCGCGTATATGTATTGAAATGCGTGATCCATAATTAAAACCACCATTACCTCTCCCTACTCTCAAAGCCCCTCCTCCTTCTCCACCCTGCAGACATCTTCGTCGACTTATACTTATACTCTGGCGGTGTATTCACGTCTCTCCTCCTCCTACCTCGGTTGCCGCCCACCTACCCACGTGACCTCCTCTGCATACACCCCCGTAACCGTACCACGTATATTCTCCCTCACATTCGTATCTCATTCCCCAACTTCCCAGCTAAAATCTCTCGGTCCGCCATTTCTCTCTCTCTCTCTCTCTCTCTCTCTCTCTCCGAGAAGAAATGGCTATGGCTAGACTTCATCCCTCCTTTTCACTCCTCGCATTTTGCTTCCTTTGTTCCGTTGCAGGTAGCTACTGTTTCTTTTCTTTTACTACATTAACAATCTTGTGATCAACCACACTTTTTTCTTTCTTTCTCGTACTCATGCATGTCAATTATGTATCTCCTTGTTTTTGATCATGCAGGTGTGTTTTCTGCGACGTTTACGTTAGTGAACCAGTGCAGCTACACCGTTTGGCCCGGGATATTATCCGGCGCGGGAACTCCTCAACTCTCCACCACCGGTTTCCCGCTAAACCCGGGACAATCAACTTCCGTTTCCGTCCCCGCAGGATGGTCAGGCCGCTTATGGGGCCGGACGCTTTGCAGTCAAGACCCCACCACGGGGAAGTTTACCTGCATCACGGGGGATTGCGGGTCCGGGACTTTAGAATGCGCAGGAGGAGCAGCTCCGCCGGCTACTCTGGCCGAGTTTACTCTGAATGGGGCTGGTGGGCTCGACTTCTATGACGTCAGCCTCGTGGACGGATACAATCTGCCCATGCTGGTGGTCCCACAAGGTGGGTCCGGAGGAAACTGTACGACCGCGGGCTGCGTCAGTGATCTCAACGGCGGGTGTCCGTCGGAGCTGAAGGTGATGAGCAGCAGCGGCAGCGTGGCCTGCAAAAGCGCATGTGAGGCGTTCGGAGATCCTCAGTACTGCTGCAGCGGCGCGTACGGGAATCCTCAGACTTGCCAGCCAACTTCTTATTCAGAGTATTTCAAGAGTGCGTGTCCGCGCGCTTACAGCTACGCCTACGATGACGGGACCAGCACTTTCACTTGTGCTTCCGCCGATTACATCATCAGTTTTTGCCCAACTCCAGCTGCCAGGTTTGTCATACTCGTACTGAATTCTACGCTCGTTCATTTTTTTTTTTTTTAATCATTTCAGTCACTTCTTTTCTGTTTCTTATCTTTGTCTGATTTGCTTCTTTGCAAGTTGTCTCTTATAATTAAGCAGCTTATCCCTGCAGATTTTGCATCCTGAACATGTTGAATGCTTTCCAAAACCACAACTTCTTTTCCCTATTAATAAAAATTATTGTCGATTAATTAATTAATGATATTTAATTTTCTTGATCTCTTATGCACGTATCAGTTGATAACTTGACACTTAAAACATTTTTTTTCCCAAAGGTTTTGATTTTTCTAGTTTGTTAATCGTAAGAATACAAGAGTAACATTGCACGGTTATGTTGCCCTCCATAATTACGACCATGATTATGGCAAAAAAATCTCCATAATTGTTAGTTTCCGTACTAATTGATGATGGAAATGTGAAAGATATGTTGACAAAAAAAAAAAATTAGAAGGCCAAGAATTTGTTTGATTAGTATTCTTTTTCAGAGTCGAGGGGATGTTGCCATCAAGGTCCATATATAGTTATTCATCTTACGCAAATAGAGGCAGCCAATTGTCATAGATAATTGTGATTTTGTTCCCTAAAGTCGGCTGTGGTGCGTCAGATACTCAGATGTGCCTCTCACGTTATATATATACTAATGTGAATTACCGCCCAAACAAACAAACAAAAAAAATAAACATATTTGTCGTACCTCTAGTCCGATTGAAATAATTCAGAGCCTTGTACTTTAAAATCTAGATGAACTATATACGTTGCAGGACTCTAATCTTAATCAAATTTTTACATGCATACTTTAACTAGGAATTGTTAATATAACTAAACATGTGATTTCCGGGTGCAGCAAGAAGTCAGCTGGATCTGAGACTGCCGGGGCAGGCGGCGTTTCATTGTTCACAAGCGGCAGTGATTCTTTAATCTTGGGTCGGCGATGGCGGCTGATCATAACCAGTTTTGCTATCACTCTCTTGCTGCTGCTGCTGGTTACCCTTCGGCACTTTTAAGCCGTCCCTCCAATATCTGGGGATTTTTAAAAAAAAAACACATAAAAGAGTATTCCATTTCAGATCGATGCAGCCTTTGACTGATTAAGAGCCCTTTCATTCGATTATGGACCAGGTGGGATAAAGAGGCCCACAAGATTTTTTGTACGACTTGAGACAAAAAAATTTGGAGAAAAATCAAGTGGGGTTCTTGACTAATTCCAGGCTTTCCAGATGCCAGCTGCCGTGTTCTGATTTCGGGCATTATGTTAGGCCTGAGTCCGGCCGAGATAAATTGAAAATTGTAGAATTGTTGCATTGATGTGAATGTGGCATGGTGCGGGGGATTCTTTTCCCACAAGATGCTAGGAGGAGGAAGGAGATGGATACAAGCAAGCAAGCAAGAAGAAGGCCGACTGGAATGGGAACATACTACTGATTCATGTTTGGTCACCATTCTTCACGCCTGAATGAAGAAACATTGAAAGAGACCCTCCAATCCAAGACGACGACCTCATGCCGCCGTAGTTGATTATTTAATGCAATTTGGTTTGAAATTTGCTATGTACAATTATTATAATAGTGCTTACTAGTATGCATTAGATGAGAGGCTTGGACGTGGTAGGTGTTTAAATTTGTTGGTTTGCAAATTGCAATGTTTATGATAGGCAGGCCAGTGCTAGTGTGATCTTGGGGACTTCAATTTCTTCTCTAATTTGCAACCAATCAAATTATCTTCTAATTCTTTAGTGGCCTAATGATTTGATCTGGTTTTCGTTTCGTATCTTAATTACTAATTAATACTGGTGGTTTGGAATTGGGTTTTGGCCGCCGCAAAATATATATTATATATTCATTCTGTTCCAAAGATGGATTCAAACCTGCACTCAGCTTTTCTTTTCTGGTGACTTAAAATGAGTGTTGACAAGAAACATGTTTGTATAAGTTTGAAACAAGAAACACGCACCATCCAATTTGACGGGGTGCTTTTTGCCACATCAGAAAAGCGTGGCTCATACACGATTAATTGTGGTAATACGTTTTTCTTGAATTGACTCCTTGGATTAGTGAATTCCTTTGTGATCCGTTCATTCGTTTATACGAAGTTGTCTTTTTTTTTTTTTAAAGGTATAATACACCAGTATTCGTTTTCATTTTACGGTCTACGACTAATTCTGTTCGAACCACGTCGGACCTTTCTTGGGGAAAACTCTCTCAACGTTATTTTTTTCATTTCCATGGATTTCGAACCACAGATCTCATGGTTAAGGGGACGAAGTTGGCTTTTTGTTGGTTTGATTTTATCAGTTTGTGCTTGCGTTTATTCTCCCATTAATTGTCATTTTTATTCTGCTAACTAATGACCATAATAAACCATACCATACAAATCAGAAAGGTAATTTATTTACAGAGTTTGAACTTTCGTCCGATTTTCTGCACTCTTTAGATCATCACCCATGCATTGATCTCCAGCCATTATTTTTCGTCATCCCCTGGCCTTTTGATATTGCGTGTCAATTTGGGTTTTCTTTTTCTCACTCGATAAGCATCTAAAGATCGTCTGCAACGACTAAGCGAACCAGAAGCGATTGATTTCTTGAAGCAAATCATGAGCATCTGTGAATTCAACTATGAAGATCAAAAAGCTCCCCATCTCACCCGTTGTTAGTGGGAACAACTTAATCAAAGGCAAGTTGGGGTGAATTTTGCTCCCGTAAAGATGGTCAATCGTAATACAACTATTTTAAGGTTTCTGATCATTCTTGTTCGTCTTAGTCTCCACCAGGCGTTCTGCAAAACAGATAAAAAGAGAAAGACAAGATAAAAAGGCTCCAATCGTGATTACACTGCAGGATCAAAAAGCTTATTCAGCCTGCATATGATTACACACAGTGATACATACTTCAACGCTAAAATCCATTGTTTGGTACTTAACCTTGACTCTTTCATCAGCAGCCGTGTCTTTTTCAAGTTTTCAGACGCCTTTACTGTTAGAATTTGCCTCCTTAGAGTCACAATGGTTGAGGCGAGAAGAAAAGTATCATTGGAAACTTAATTGACTGATCATCTCATTCTCACAATCTTCTTAATTAATAATATCTCATCTTGTTGATTGCAATTGAAGCTCCTCTTGCGTTCCGTCACTCGTATCTTCCTGGATTGTAAAATTGATCAGCTATTAATCCACTTGTAGTGGCATGAAGACTAACGTCTAGCTTAAATGAATTCAAACCTAGTGAAGTTTGAATTCAGATTTCAGTTTCTGAAATCTTATCGTTGATCATTAAACTAAAACCCTATTGGTGATGGTAAGGCAACTTGATTAGACATTATTATTATTGTCAAACTTGATTTGGAAAATTAGCTTTTCAAAAACCGTAAGGACAAACCGGTTCGTCTTATTCCTTATGAAAGCGGCGGATTTGACGTTTCATATTGCGGACGTTTCTAATCGCTAAAGATTACAAAATTAAAATACTAGTAATCAATCTATTACGTCTCAAAATGATTCTGCAAATCACCCCTTAATCAGGTTCCAGTTTTGATCTAGCTCATTAGCTCCAAATTCGCTTTTCACTACGCATTGTTAGCCTTAAAACAGAAAGAATAAGACAACAAAAGCAAACTAAATATTTTAATCTTCGACCTAAAAAAAAAATAATAATAATAATACTTATACGCAAACGAGATTCCAATTCTGTGTCCATTTTCTTTTTGCCTTTTGTGAATCATTTCTCACATGATTACAAAGAACATCCCACAATCTCCAACCAAAAGCTAAGGTTACATTTGTTGTTATAGTATCAACAATGGACAGCCAAGTTAATCAAATATCAACGCCTGTTTTCTCTGTTGCCAGTTTCAGAAACGAAGTCATGTGTGGGCTAGCATTGTACTCCAACAAGGTTACGTGCCTCTTCTCCACAAGGAATCCATAATCTCCACGAGAATCCATCAATGCAGTTCTCACATTTCTTTAACAAGGGCAAAACACAAGGGAATATCCAGATAGAACTCTCCACTTGGGTTTTTTAGCTTTAGCAGTTAGCAAAGGAAGTTAGTCACTTGAGAACAGTTAGCAAGCAGTGAGCATTCATTTGGTCTAGTTAGGTCTGATAGTCCCTTGCATGGTCTCTTTAGCCTTCTTCTCCTTGTAAAATAGGATAGATTAGATTAGAAGAATGCTATCGTCGCAGTTAAAAAAAAGGAAGTTAGTCACCTGAGGGACGGTTGGTTGAGTAGATTCCCAATTTCTCCCGGTCTTCTTTTGTTGGTTGGCTGGGACTAGGAGAATTGAGAGATTGAGATGGTGGCTTGGAGGGAGACTTTCTTCCAACATTTTGTCTGCGTGCCATAATCCTCAACACTACACGTCAGAAATAGACAGATGATCTAAAAGAAGGAATCCCATCTCACCACTGAACCTTGGAAACCTCTCCGCTTGCCATTTCCACAAAAAACTCTGCATTCTGCTGGCTCTCAACTTTCCAGTTCCAAAACTGAGCCTTCTCATGCCAGACAGTGTGGGCTCTGGTTGCGTGGGCTGGGGCTGTATTATTTCTTTAATTAAAGAGGGTTTTTTAAGCTTTATAATGGAAAAGAAGACCATTACACAAAACAGAGGAAAACTTCTACAACTGGTTTTGTCTAGCTGTGTTCTTTATCTACGTATCTCCATGATTTTCTGGGATACTTCTTATTCAAGACTTCTTTTGTGTCAAATAGGTGGTAAATTTTTTGTCCCCTTCAATACACATCCATTGGCTCTTCTCCATCTTTTAACTTAATTGTCGCTATAAGGTATTTAGAATTTTATCACCAGACTTAATCATTAAGAAAGGTAAAAAAGACCTGGGCTTAATTTTCTCACATGAAGGTGAGTCTGGTATTCTAAAGTACCAGATTGTGAGCGCAACCCGCAAGCAACAACAGAGCAGATTACGAATAAACAGATGACAGCAACAATTACAAGCACTTAAAATCTGCAATCATTGGCGGCTTGAAGAAAAGAGATTTCATGTATACCACTATAGGCAGATCAATTAACAGGAACCCAAGATATGCCTCAGTAAAACATTTTCAAGAGGGTGGCTGAAAAGCATTGAAAAGAGCACCTTTGATGGCACTCCATCTCCTTTGTATTTTTGGCAAAAGCACGCGAAGAAAAAAGGGTGCCATTAACCAAACAAAAAAAAAAGGACAGCCAATAACATTAGCCCATTGAGAAAAGAAGTCCAAATACAAAGCGAATTTGATGAAGATAAAGCTTAAAATTCCCTCTTCCTGCCAAAAATAAAATAACTACCACAAAACGATACAATCATCAGTTCTCTTCCCCAATGTACAGGATACGTTGCTAAATAGAGTACAAGTAACAAGTTCATCACTTGCACAATGGATTCTGCTCTCTTCATTGCACACCTTGCACTTCATCTTCATGCAGCAACGCCTCAAGGATTTTAAGTCTCTTTTTTCTTTTTCTCCACCAAATAGCGAGGTGAGTTATGGTGCTGTAAAGCAGTAAGATCAAATAATCCAAACTCGATGCACTTAATTAAATATTTGGTTAAGGCTTATACTAGAATCAGCTCTCGTGCAACCTTGAGCATCTATGAGATAGTCAAGATATACAACTGAGTAGATGAACCAAATCACCACTAAGCCGTTTTCCACAAAAGTTGTTCTTGAAACATTGACCTCGACAATAAATCGAACGGCACAGCAATAAATAACAGAAACAGTTGTAATAAAACAGTGTCAAACTAAATTGACTGGGGAACTCACCAATCATTGGACAAATTTCAAGCAACGAGTATCATTGTGAATAGTTTGGCATCGAATAGAACAAAATCGCATCCCACATTGTACACATGTATAATTCGCTGTGAATCCACAGACAGTGCAAAAATGACGGCTTGAAGAGGAACTTGGAGGTCCAACTGCAGCTCTCAAATACGAGGGCACGTGAGGCGGCAAGGATTCCAGGTTTGCCTAGTCCAAATAGCAATTAATTGAGATTCAGAGACTCTATATGACAATCTTCAAATAACAATTAATTGAGATTCAGAGATTCTATATGACAATCTTCAGACATGAAAACTATGCCAAAAGAACAAACTCCGCAATAGACAGGTATTTATATTTGAAACCCAAAAACTGCATGTGTTGACATATGAGTCCAATTTGCCATCAGTGATACCGCAATTTTAGCCACAACATTCTTGAGCAAATAGGATGACATGCCAGCAGACTAGTAATGAAGGGTTGCATTGTTTAGTTCTGAATACCTCGTGCAAGAGCTCAAGAAACGTTCTCGAGGCCTTTTTAGCATTCTCTAACGCTTTAGCCTGACGAGTTTTCCGTTTCGTACTCTTAGACTGTTTCTTTTGATAAACTGCAAACAATTTGAAAAGCTAAGGTTAGATAACCAAAACCAGATGCAGGCAAAAGAGCAATGAGAACCAGACAGTCTGTTTGGGTAGAAACTGGAAGCATGACACGGGGGGTTACTCAGTCAAAGAAAAATAAGGTAAAAATTAGGTTTCCTGATGAGCTAAAGATACATGTAATAGAACGAAATCAATTGGGAACGGAATTAATTGCTCTTTCCTTGTCGCAGTGAGAGAATCATGGTAGATTATTGTATACAAAGAACGGATTAGATGATCACATACGAATGTACCGAAAAAGGTTGCTAAAAAGCTAGCTACTTGAATTAGAGCAAGAGAATGTGAATGAAACAGACAACCTTGGTCATCATCGTCATCAAGAGAAACTTCATCATCATCATCAATTTGCTGTACTGCCTCCGTTGCAGCATTGTCATTTTCCAAAGCATCCAGCCGAGCTAGTATCGCCTGCGTCCCACCCCAAAGTCAAAGCAGTTTAATTTAATCACAGCCACTGCTCCAGCTCTAAACTTAATCAGTTAATTGCGTCCTGTGAACACTCCCAACACACACACCCCATCCCCCAACAAAAAAAAATAAAAAGCTGAATATACAATAAGTTTTGAATACTGTGGACCTGAGTTCGATTATCGGAGCTGGCAAGTGCAGCCGCCATTTTGGGAGCAATCTTGCGGGACCGAGTAGACATCCTTCGAATTGAATTCGACCCATCTTCCTCCATTCCTTCCTGCTAACCTAAATAAACTTTTGACAAAATTGAGAGGAAAACTCCACCTGACTTTCAACAGTTTAATGAATCGAGAGAGAGAGAGAGAGAGGGTGGGTTGAGAATGAGAGAGAGAGAGAACTGAGAGGGTTTTACTGAATTTCTGTCACGACGGCCGGCGGGTGAAATCCGGCTCCAGTTTTTCAACACTACTCGTATGCTACCGGTTTCTGTCTGTCTAGCCGTCCGGTTCAGATGAGCACTTAACCGATTGTATCAAACCCGGGTCAGACGCGTTGACTGGACTCTTTAGATAGCCCTCGTGGACTCGGAAATTGCAAGCCCACAATATTCGAGCCCAATTAAGAATACGAGAGTCCAGCCCACGCTTGAACCTGGGGAAAAAGTAACGTGTCCAACGAATCCAACATCTAATAGGAATTTTTACAGTAAAACAAAAAACAAAAATCAATTTATGGTTTGTTGATTCATCAAAATAAATTGTGATATAGAGTGGGACTTCAGGTATACCTTGTATCTAACTCTTGCTAGTTGAACAAAATCATCAATTTTGCAAAATAATAGTAATAAATCTTGTAAGTTGAACACAATCACCAATTTTTCAGAATAATAATACATATTGTTGGTTGAACACAATCATCAATTTTTTCAAAATAAATAATAATAATACTAGTATGAAGATTACACTCCAAGGTACTCATTCCTACAAGACCAACATGAAAAACCTAAATTGCGACGCTAGCCAGAAAAAATAGGCCAAATCTAATGAAAGTTAAAACGCTTATGTAGGTAAACTAATATTTTTAGAGAGAGTGTCAAAACTTTAAGCTAATTGATTTGCTTCGTATGAAGTAACCTGTTTGTTTTGATCCGGGGATGGGGGAAAACAAAAGAAAAATATCATCAGGCCCCATTTAAGGTTACGACGGTTTATAATAAACACTTTTAACACGCAATGGATCTTCTGTCCCACATCCTGTGCCATTAATTCTCTGTCCCACTTTTTATTATATTGCTATTTCTCCTACATAAATATCATGTTTTAGTTCTTTTTTGTTTTCTTAAGATCCAATAACTATTAATTGAGTTATACACAAAATGTAACATACTCAAAAAAATCAAAATGCATAAAAAATGAGATTTTTTATGAATTTTCTGCTGTATTTTTTAATTTTCTATTATATATTACTTTTTTGAAACTGCTGTATTTATTTTTTACTCAATTAATAGTTATTGAATTTTAAGGAAACAAAAAAAGAACTAAAACATGATATTTATGTAGGAGAAATAGTAATATAATAAAAAGTGGGACAGAGAGTGGCACAGGATGTGGGACAAAAGATCCGTTGCACTTTTAACATGAGTGATTTTAATAAAAGTGTTTTTAAATCAGTTATCAAACATTTTAGAAGTATTTTTTTTTTTTTTTTGTCTATACATGGGTGTCCGGGTCAATCCTTACGGGGCCCGACTAATCCCCTGTGGCCCGGCCAGGCGCCCCAGCCCAGCCCAAGCACGATATGTGCGCGGAGGAATCCAGCAGATCAGAGACTCGAACTTGGGACCTTTCGGTCACCGGTGGGAGGAACTTAAAAAGTACTTTTCTTGTAAACGCACCACAACCCCAAAGGGGCCAAATTGACGAATGACGAGTTTCAAGTTTTCAGATAGTTTAATGGTGGAAGGTTTTCTTTCACATAAACCTCAGCAGTATGGTACAACTTTCCTCTTGCTCCCTTATTTTAGGTCTCGTATCATTGCTATTTTTTTTGCGAAGCAAAGCAATGGCGGGCATTATTTTATTTGGATTTTCTAATTTGGTTTTCTTCTGTTCCCAGAAAAAGGGAAAAGCTGAAGGAATGAATGGACATGGACCATGAATTATGTCCATCCAATACATCGACTCATCCAGCAATAGATAGAGGTCAATCCATGCATTGGCTTGCAATGAAATTGCTTTCCGAGCAAGATATGCAGACTAAAAATAGGAGAAATAGATTACTTACATATAAAGATTCAAATTCCTATTTCCATCCACAGCTAGATAGAGTGTGAAAGATTGAAAGTGGAAATAATCCAACGACAATATCCTGATAAGGTAACAATAATAAATTCCACTTTAGATCATCTTATCATGTTCCCTCCATGCTCGGGTTCCTCCATTAAGCTTTCTTATTTCTGACTTCCTTTACAATTTTTTCCCTCTGCATGCACCAATGACATTTCTTCCGTCTTATTCCATACATCATATGATTTAAAAACCTAAAGAGTTGAAATCTGAAACCAAGTTATCAACAGTATTAAAGCTGTCAGATTTGCGGTCTTTTTTTTATCGTAAACCGTGTAATCCGACCTTTTTGCTTTGTAAAAGAAAACATTCCAGTCTGGCATAGGACTTTGAGAACCAAGAGGATTCTTCACCAGCTTTTCAGAGAAAGAATGTCTTTAACGTCAGTATTGCTGTAGTGGGATGACGTAAATTGATCTTTATTAAAGCTCAAACAACTGCTGCAAATTCCAATCGGGATAAGTGAATAAAGCTGGGACTGGGAGGAATTGAAGAAGATGCTGATCATGGTAGGCCAGAAACCTTATCCTGATGGAACTTTATACGGCGCAAAGTTAATGCTTCAGTAGTTGCAGTTGCACAGGATGGTGATGGAAGTAGTAATATTCAATTACAAAAGGGAATAAAAAGGACGTCTACTTGGTATGTAGTCAGTCTCCTTATCAATATGTTATCAGAAACTTTTAGTCGATATCTTTGATACGTCCCCATGAGTTATCCTGGAAGTTAATGCTAATTAAGGCGAGCAAAACAACCTCACGCAGTGTTTGTTTGATATTCACATCGTGTTGATTCTGGCCCTTGTCGAAACTTGGCCAGAAAACCACCCTGTTTATGATGATTGATGATGGCCGGCCGCAAGATTTCGGAAAGAGGGCTCCTCCATTGATTTGCTGCAACAATTAAAGCTCCCTGTCCCGCAGAGATATTTCTGTAATCTTATCGAAGGCCATAAGCTTTTAAGGGTCAACTTGAGTTAGATCTCTAAGCTTCAAGAGGAATTTCTTTTCTACAAGTTGTTAAAGGTTTTTCCACTCACTCTTTTCAGTGGGACACTTCCGAGGATGAGGAAAGACTATGACAACTACTGTGATTTTGACCTTTGATTCGTTAGACTGACAACTTTTTTTGGGATGGCTAGATTACAAGTTGGGGAAGAGATGTGAGGTAAAAGGGTGCTACGGTTTCTGGAGTCAGATTTTGAACGAAACTTCAGGACTGATGGAATATCTGCTTCCAAATTATGGGAAGTGTTTTCATTCTTTCAAGGGCGGTCATAATCAAGCCAAGGTACAACCACCCATTGTCATTTATGCACCCAGACAGGCAATGCATGTGATGGTAAAAGATAAAAGGCAACCCGAGCTCAATGAGGATTTTAGTACTAAATAATGAGAGTTAGAAGACAGACAAGACAATGCGATGAGATAATGGCTATGTACTTGCAGAAACAAAGGCATCAAAAGTAAAATATATGTTGCATCCCAAAAGATTACCAATCGAAATTATTGGCCTTTACTTTCTCAATATACACCATTTTCGGTTCATATTGATGATTGTTCTAGGCTGCACTCAGTGATTTGAGTTTGTGGTTTGCTTTTAGCATGGAAGAGATTGAAAAGCAAGTCCGACGCTCCCACCATTGGCCTTTTAATCTTGGGCCAGACACCCAACTGGTTTTGGTCACTAGTTTACTATTCAAAAATCAATTCGGGCAACAATTCAAGACAATTGGTCGGATCCCTTTGTACTTCGACGTTCCATGTTTTCTTATTTTTATGTATTCTTGAATTGTTTAAATTTCACGTTAACTTGGATTTTATATCCTGCCATTTGCAGATTAACCTAATTATGTGGTGCCTAGATATAGAACAATTGTCAACTTTAGGAATAGGGAAATTGAAGTTTAATCACCATATTATAAGTTTTGCTACTTCAATTGGAGTGTTTTGGCCACCCAACAGTTGGTGGCAAGAAGGATATGAGGAAGGGTGAGAGAGTTAAACAAAAAAATTAGAATGTTTTGGCCTTATAATTGGGAATCATGAATGCAGTTGCTCCTATAAAAGAAAGTTAATCTCAATCATGAATAATAGCTTTCCAAATTTTTAGAGGAAAAGGGCTTTCTAAAATTTTTTTAATCTTAATCATGAATAATAAAGAAAGTTAAAACAACCAGAAATTTGGCTAGACATGATGATATTCTACCCCAAGACAACAATTAGAATTGAAAGATAAATCAAATTATTCAATACTCGAATCAAACTCATTTTGGTAAGGTAAAAGTTTGAGATTGGTGGTTCGTTAACTAATAAAATCAAACTTAACAGCGTTTTGTGTTCGATAATTTTTAAATTCAATAAAAAAATTTTGGTTCGGCAAATAAACAAACTAAGTTTGAAAGAAATTTCAAAGTCACTAACATAATCAAACAAGTTTAAATACTAGAGTGTTTAATTATTATATTTATTCACACCCTGACAACAATGAGAATATGATGGACCTAAACACTGTTGTTTGGGTTGAGAGTTTGGGACAGTATTGTTAGGAAGAAACATCTCGCGAAAACTTATTAAACAATCCAATATATAAGTTGAAAAATCTAACTATGATTCAAAAACTTAAATTATTAGATATTAAATCCTTATTTACATATTAAATACTCTTTCTTCGTCTCTCTCGAACTAGCGCAAACATAATTCTTTACTCATACGAGCCTAACAAATCCTAAATCTCATTCCCCATTTAAAAAAAAAAAAAAAGATAATGAACAACGCCACGTTGCCGACTAAAACGATCACACTACTATAATGAACACCGTCACGTTGCCGACCAAATGATTAATTTCGACAGGATCCAAGTTTTGTCTTGTTTTAGTAATTGATTGACGGAAGTAGTAAAAGATTTTTTTCATATATAGGTCGGTGAGGCAAAGCAGATCCGGGAGGTTTACGTGGCTCGGCTTTAGCTAATTTGATCCATCATCAAAGAATCAGACCGGTACTCCTCTCCCCGAAGATCGACAAAGCATTAGTAGCTGCTGCTAGTTGGAAACTAGAAAGCCATGCATGTTCCCAGAAACTAGAAAGCAGCAGCAGCAAAATAGCAGCGGCAGTAGCAGGAAATTAACTGGGCAATGGTGATCACCTTTTCAGGGCACCTGTAGTGTTGGTTGCCTCGTATTCCTCCTCCACTATTGGGATTTGTGTGGACTTCCACAGTACTGCCCCCTCTCACATCCGCTAGGCAACGTTACCTTGTCGAAAACGACATTTCAACGTCTCAAAGGTAGTCGAGGAGGTAATATTACAGAAGATACCTTACTCCCCTACCCGAAGACTATTGAAGCTTGCAAGCAGAAGTTTCCTCTTTACAAAGGGAAAATGATGCATTAATTTAGAAAAAAGGAAGCAATGAAAAGGAATAATTTCATAAACCTCTCCTGAGGTTTCTGACAATTGCAGCCTCTTCTCTTGAAATTTGTAAAATTACACTTATCTCCCTTAGTGTTATGAAAAAATATAATAGTTTTGACAATTCTACATATCTTAAGTGAAAAGTGGGTGTAAAGAAAAAAAAAAATCATATTTTGCAAATATTTTATTATCTAAAAGCTCTAACCTCATCTCACTTAATACAATATATTCAATTCCTAAGTCATTTAAATGGACCTCTTACTTAGTTTTATAAATAGCCGACTAGTAGGGATGCATTTGTTAAAAACAGTTTCTTTACAACTTACACGACAAAAGAAAAAAAAAAAAGAAACTCGAGCATTTAAAAATAATGCTTTAAAACATGGCCTAAATTTTACTATAAAAACTACTTTAAAAATTTTTACTTAGTAAGTAATGCTGATATTTGATTTTTTTTTTTTATCATTCAATTTGTTTGTAAATCAAATAGGGGCAATATAGGATATTCATCAGATGTTTTGTACTTACATCACCATTTGTTATCAAAACGTACTTTTTTAGGAGAGGTTTTTATAATTTTTCAAAACTCAAAAGAGGTGGCTGCAATTGTCAAAAATCCCAGGAAGGTTTCTGAAATTATTCCCAATAAAAATTGAAAAAGTTCGATGATCCATAATATTTATCATAATCTTGGGATGTCTTTTGGGGTACCAAATCCAAAATGATAGTGGATTTTGATTGTTGAGGGAATCACTTTCCCTTCGATGTCCAAAACACTTTTTTGAGGGTTATTTTGATAATGTTAAAGCTTTACCTATATTTATCTTCTCGTTAACACCTCATGTTCAGATTAGGGAAAGACTATAATAGATTGTATAACAAAAAAAAGGAAAAACGATAAGTAGTACATTTCAATTTTCTTCTTGAGAAGCAAAAAGTGGTTTGATTTCCATCCTTAAAGATCTCGTCTTTTCCTTGTACACAAATCATAGTCTCCATATTCAGTTTCCAGGAACTCTTCCATGGCATGACTTAGCTGCTTCCTTCGAATTAAGCTCGCGGGTTAAAAGAAAATGTACCCAATGTCTTGAACAACATCTGACACGTAGAAAGAAACTTCCCGCTAAACCCGGGACAATCAACTTCCGTCTCCGTCCCTGCAGGATGGTCAGGCCGCTTATGGGGCCGGACGCTTTGCAGTCAGGACCCCACCACGGGGAAGTTTACCTGCATCACGGGGGATTGCGGGTCCGGGACTGTAGAATGCGCAGGAGGAGCAGCTCCGCCGGCTACTCTGGCCGAGTTCACTCTGAATGGGGCTGGTGGGCTCGACTTCTATGACGTCAGCCTCGTGGACGGATACAATCTGCCCATGCTGGTGGTCCCACAAGGTGGGTCCGGAGGAAACTGCACGACCGCGGGCTGCGTCAGTGATCTCAACGACGGGTGTCCGTCGGAGCTGAAGGTGATGAGCAGCAGCAGCAGCGTGGCCTGCAAAAGCGCATGTGATGCGTTCGGAGATCCTGAGTACTGCTGCAGCGGCGCGTACGGGAATCCTCAGACTTGCCAGCCAACTTCTTATTCAGAGTATTTCAAGAGTGCGTGTCCGCGCGCTTACAGCTACGCCTACGATGACGGGACCAGCACTTTCACTTGTGCTTCCGCCGATTACATCATCAGTTTTTGCCCAACTCCAGCTGCCAGGTTAGTCATCATACTCGTACTGAATTCTACACTCGGTTCATTTTTTTTTTTTTTTAATCATTTCAGTCACTTCTTTTTCTGTTTCTTATCTTTGTTTGATTTGCTTCCTTGCAAGTTGTCTCTTATAATTAAGCAGCTTATCCCTGCAGATTTTGCATATCCTTAACATGTTGAATGCTTTCCAAAACCACAACTTCTTTTCCCTATTAATAAAAATTATTGTCGATTAATTAATGATGTGCAATTTTCTTGATCTCTTATGCACGCATCAGTTGATAACTTGACACATACACTTAAAAACAATTTTTTTTCCCCAAAGGTTTTGATTTTTCTAGTTTGCTAATCGTAAGAACACAAGAGTCACATTGCACGGTTATGTTGCCCTCCATGATTATGGCAAAAATCTCCATAGTCGTTAGTTTCCGTACTAATTGATGATGGAAATGCGAAAGATATGTTGACAAAAAAAAAAAAAATTAGAGTTTGATTAGTATTCTTTTTCAGAGTAGAAGGAAGAAAAATCGACTGTGGATGTTGCCATCAAGGTCCGTCCATAGTTATTCATCTTACGCAAATAGAGGCAGACAATTGTCATAGATAATTGTGATTTTGTTCCCTAAAGTCGGCTGTGGTGCGTCAGATGTGCCTCTCACGTTACATACTAATAATATGAATTACCGCCCAAAAAAAAAAAAAAAAAAAAAAAAAAAAACAGATTTGTCGTACCTAGTCTGATTGAAATAATTCAGAGCCTTGTACTTTAAAATCTAGATGAACTATATACGTTGCGTTGCAGGACTCTAATCTTAATCAAATTTTTACATGCATCATACTTTAACTGGGAATTGTTGTTAATATAACTAAACATGTGATTTCCGGGTGCAGCAAGAAGTCAGCTGGATCTGAGACTGCTGGTGCTGGGGCAGGCGACGTTTCATTGTTCACAAGCGGCAGTGATTCTTTAATCTTGGGTCGGCGATGGCGGCTGATAACCAGTTTTATTATCACTCTCTTGCTGCTGCTGCTGGTTACCCTTCGGCACTTTTAAGCCAAAAAAAAAAAACACACATACAAGAGTAGTATTATTCCATTTCAGATCGATGCAGCCTTTGACTGATTACAAGAGTATGGGATAAAGAGGCCCACGAGATTTTTTGTACGACTTGAGACAAAAAAATTTGGAGAAAAATCAACTGGGGTTCTTGACTAATTCCAGGCTTTCCAGATGCCAGCTGCCGTGTTCTGATTTCGGGCATTATGTTAGTTAGGCCTGAGTCCGGCCGAGATAAATTGAAAATTGTAGAATTTTTGCATTGATGTGGATGTGGCATGGTGCGGGGGATTCTTTTCCCACAACTACAAGATGCTAGGAGGAGGAAGGAGATAGAGATACAAGCAAGCAAGCAAGCAAGCAAGAAGAAGGCCGACTGGAATGGGAACATACTACTGATTCATGTTTGGTCACCATTCTTCACGCCTGAATGAAACATTGAAAGAGACCCTCCAATCCAAGACGACGACCTCATCATCATGCCGCCGTAGTTGATTATTTAATGCAATTTGGTTTGAAATTTGCTATGTACAATTATTATAATAGTGCAGTTGCTACTTCTTCTGTCCCACTTTGATAGTCTTGTTTTCCTTTTTCGTCTGTCCCAAATTGTAGTCCACTTTCCCATTAAGAAATGTAGTAATCTTTCAAAATGTCTAAAATACCCTTATTAAATATCTTGTTATTAATACATTGTTATTAAATACTAACCCACTACATTGAATACATTGAGCTTTTCCAATACTAACCCATTAGCTGTAACTGATATTAATTGGCATTCTTCGTGATTAGCATAAGGGTATTTTAGGAAATTATTAATCTAAATTTATGTTTTCAACCAAATTAATTACACTTTCTTAATCTGTGTGAAAAAAAAAATCAAGACTAATAAAATGGGACGGAGAGAGTAGTATGCATTAGATGAGAGGCTTGGACGTGGTAGGTGTTTAAATTTGTTGGTTTGCAAATGTTTATGATAGGTAGGCCAGTGCTTGTGTGATCTTGGGGACTTCAATTTCTTCTCTAATTTGCAACCAATCAAATTATCTTCTAATTCTTTAGTGGCCTAATGATTTGATCTGGTTTTCGTTTCGTATCTTAATTACTAATACTGGTGGTTTGGAATTGGGTTTTGGCCGCCTCAAAATATATATATTATACATTCATTCTGTTCCAAAGATGGATTTAGTCTAAAGCTGGATTCAAACCTGCACTCAGCTTTTCTTTTCTGGTGACTTAAAATTTTGAGTGTTGACAAGAAACATGTTTGTATAAGTTTGAAACAAGAAACAAACGCACCATCCAATTTGACGGGGTGCTTTTTGCCACATCAGAAAAGCGTGGCTCACACACGATTAATTGTGGTAATACATGTTCTTGAATTGACTCCTTGGATTAGTGAATTCCTTTGTGATCCGTTCGTTTGAAGTTGCCTTTTTTTTTTTTTTTCAAAGGTATAATACACTGGTATCCGTATTCATTTTACGGTCTACGACTAATTCTGTTCGAACCGCATCGGATCTCTCTTGGAAAAAACTCTCTCAACGTTATTTTTTTCATTTCGATGGGTTTCGAACCGGAGATTTCATGGTTTGAAAGACGAAGTTGGCTTTTTGTTGGTTTGATTTTATCAGATTGTGCTTGCGTTTATTCTCCCATTAATTGTCATTTTTATTCTACTAACTCATGACTATAATAAACCATACCATACAAATCAGAAAGGTAATTCACAGAGTATGAACTTTCGTCCGATTTTCTGCGCTCTTTAGATCATCACCCATGCATTGATCTCCAGCCATTATTTTTCGTCATCTCCTGGCCTTTTGATATTGCGTGTCAATTTTGGGTTTTCTTTTTCTCACTTGATTAGCATCTAAAGATCGTCTGCAACGACTAAGCGAACCAGAAGCGATTGATTTCTTGAAGCAAATCATGAGCATGTGTGAATTCAACTATGATGAAGATCAAAAAGTACGTTCCCCATCTCACCCGTTGTTAGTGGGAACAAATTAATCAAAGGCAAGTTGGGGTGAATTTTGCTCCGGTAAAGATGGTCAACCGTAATACAACTATTTTAAGGTTTCTGATCATTCTTGTTCGTCTTAGTCTCCACTAGGCGTTCTGCAGAACAGATAAAAGAAGAAAGACAAGATAAAAAGGCAACACTGCAGGATCAGAAAGCTTATTCAGCCTGCATATGATTACACACAGTGATAGATACTTCAACGCTAAAATCCATTGTTTGGTACTTAACTTTGACTCTTTCATCAGCAGCCGTGTCTTTTTCAAGTTTGCAGACGCCTTTACTGTTCGTTTTCTGGCCCAGAATTTGCCTCCTTAGAGTCACAATGGCTGAGGCGAGAAGAAAAGTATCAGTTGGAAACTTAATTGACTGATCATCTCATTCTCACAATCTTCTTTCTACTCCCGCAACTTAATTAATAATATCTCATCTTGTTGATTGTAATTATAGGTGGCAAACCAACCCATTTAACTAAATTTATCCATACCCACCCATGAATAGATGGGTATGGATATTTAAAATTTTTGTATATAGATATAAATGGGTATTATTGGGTAATCCATTAGACCCAATTAACTCATTTAGAATTCCTTTCCCCCAAGTCTCTTCTCTTCCCCCACCAATTTTTTTTTTCAAATTTTTCATTTTGTCATGATGTTAACTACTTTTATTTCATTATTATTATTATTATTATTTGTTGGTTTTGTCTTATTATTTTATTTTCTCTTAATTTGTTAACTTGCTCATTTTTTACCATTACTAATTTATGATAAGTTTTAGCCTCTTTTCTTATCTTTTTAAAATGAAATTTTAAATTTATATATGAAAAAAATGTTAGGGGTTCAAAATTTTTGAATTAAGTTTTTATATTAACTTTTATAGTACTTAGTTCAAATTTTTTTATTCTTATTATTCAATTATTAAATAATATGTAATTTTGTGACATAGAGTATAAACGGAAAAAAATTTGATAATTAGGCTTATTGAATATTATAAGTAAATATTTAAAATTAATGATGGGTACAAAGAGCGGTATAAATTGATAACTTAATTTACAAAAATGAATTTAAATGAGTTTACAAAAAATTAAAATAAATGGGTTATAAATGGGTAATTGGATTACTCAATTCATTTTTTGACTTACCTATTTATACCCATCTAATTAAATGGGTATAAATGGGTTGATTCACTTATACCCATTACCCATTTTATCCAACCCAAACCCGTCCAAGTCACCCATTTTGACACCTCTAATTGTAATTGAAGCTCCTCTTGCGTTCCGTCACTCGTATCTTCCTGGATTGTAAAATTGATCAGCTATTAATCCACTTATAGTGGCATGAAGACTAACGTCTAGCTTAAATGAATTCAAACCTGGTGAAGTTTGAATTCAGATTTTAGTTTCTGAAATCTTATCGTTGATCATTAAACTAAAACCCTATTGGTGATGGTAAGGCAACTTGATTAGACATCATTATTATTGTCAAACTTGATTTGGAAAATTAGCTTTTCAAAAACCGTAAGGACAAACCAGCTCGCCTTATTCCTTATGAAAGCGGCGGATTTGATGTTTCATATTGCGGTGCGGACGTTTCTAATCCCTAAAGATTACAAAATTAAAATACTAGTAATCAATCTATTACGTCCCAAAATGATTCTGCAAATCACCCCTTAATCAGGTTCCAGTTTTGATCTAGCTCATTAGCTCCAAATTCGCTTTTCACTACGCATTGTTTGCCTCAAAACAGAAAGAACAAGACAACAACAGGAAACTAAATATTTTAATCTTCGACCTAAAATAATAATAATACTTGTACGCAAACGAGATTCCAATTCTGTGTCAATTTCTTTTTGCCTTTTGTGAATCATTTCTCGCATGATTACAAAGAACATCCCACAATCTCCAACCAAAAGCTAAGGTTACATTTGTTGTTATAGTATCAACAATGGACGGCCAAGTTAATCAAATATCAACGCCTGTTTTCTCTGTTGTCAGTTTCAGAAACGAAGTCATGTGTGGGCTAGCATTGTACTCCAACAAGGTTACGTGCCTCTTCTCCGCAACTCAAGGAATCCATAATCACCGCCAGAATCCATCAATGCAGTTCTCACATTTTTTTAGCAAGGGCAAAACACGGGTCTTTTAGCTTTAGCAGCTAGCAAGGAAGTTAGTCACCTGAGAACGCTTAGCAAGCAATGAGCATTCTAAAATAATAGAATAGATTAGATTATAAGAATGCTATCGTCGCAATTAAAAAAAGGGTAGTTAGTCACCTGAGGGACGGTTGGTTGAGTAGAATCCCAATTTCTCCCGGTCTTCTTTTGTTGGTAGAATTGAGAGATTGAGATGGTGGCTTGGAGGGAGACTTTCTTCCAACATTTTGTCTGCGTGCCATAATCTTCAACACTACACGTCAGAAATAGACAGATGATCTAAAAGAAGGAATCCCATCTCACCACTGAACCTTGGAAACCTCTCCGCTTGCCATTTCCACAAAAAACTCTGCATTCTGCTGCCTCTCAACTTTCCAGTTCCCAAACTGAGCCTTCTCATGCCAGACAATGTGGGCTGGGGCTGTATTATTTCTTTAATTAAAGAGGGGTTTTTTAAGCTTTATAATGGAAAAGAAGACCATTACACAAAACAGAGGAAAACTACTACAACTGGCTTGGTTTTCTCTAGCTGTGTTCTTTATCTACGTATCTCCATGATTTTCTGGGATACTTCTTATTCAAGACTTCTTTTGTGTCAAATAGGTGGTAAATTTTTTGTCCCCTTCAATACACATCCATTGGCTCTTCTCCATCTTTTAACTTAATTGTCGCTATAAGGTATTTAGAATTATATCACCAGACTTAATCATTAAGAAAGGTAAAAAAGACCTGGGCTTAATTTTCTCACATGAAGGTGAGTCCGGTATTCTAAAGTACCAGATTGTGAGCGCAACCCGCAAGCAACAACAGAGCAGATTACGAATAAACAGATGACAGCAACAATAACAAGCACTTAAAATCTGCAATCATTAGCGGCTTGAAGAAAAGAGATTTCATGTATACCACTATAGGCAGATCAATTAACAGGAACCCAAGATATGCCTCAGAAAAACATTTTCAAGAGGTTGGCTGAAAAGCATTGAGAAAAGAAGTCCAAATACAAAGCGAATTTGATGAAGATAAAGCTTAAAATTCGCTCTTCCTGCCAAAAATAAAACAACTACCACAAAACGATACAATCATCAGTTCTCTTCCCCAATGTTCAGGATACCTTGCTAAATAGAGTACAAGTAACAAGTTCATCACTTGCACAATGGATTCTGCTCTCTTCATTGCACACCTTGCACTTCCTCTTCATGCAGCAACGCCTCCAAGGATTTTAAGTCTCTTTTTTCTTCATCTCCACCAAATAGCGAGGTGAGTTATGGTGCTGTAAAGCAGTAAGATCGAATAATCCAAACTTGATGCACTTAATTAAATATTTGGTCAAGGCTTATCCTAGAATCAGCTCTCGTGCAACCTCCAGCATCTGTGAGATAGTCACGACATACAACTGAGGAGATGAACCAAATCACCACTAAGCGGTTTTCCACAGAAGTTGTTCTTGAAACACTGACCTCGACAATAAATCGAACGGCACAGCAATAAATAACAGAAACAGTTGTAATAAAACAGTGTCGAACTAAATTGACTGGGGAACTCACCAGTCATGCGACAAATTTCAAGCAACGAGTATCATTGTGAATAGTTTGGCATCGAATAGAACAAAATCGCATCCCACATTGTACACATGTATAATTCGCTGTGAATCCGCAGACAGTGCAAAAATGACGGCTTGAAGAGGAACTTGGAGGTCCAACTGCAGCTCTCAAATACGAGGGCACATGAGGAGGCAAGGATTCCAGGTTTGCCTAGTCCAAATAGCAATTGATTGAGATTCAGAGATTCTATATGACAATCTTCAAATAGCAATTAATTGAGATTCAGAGATTCTATATGACAATCTTCAAATAGCAATTAATTGAGATTCAGAGATTCTATATGACAATCTTCAAATAACATATGACAATCTTCAGACATGAAAACTATGCCAAAAGAACAAACTCCGCAATAGACAGGTATTTATATTTGAAACCCAAAAACTGCATGTGTTGACATATGAGTCCAATTTGCCATCAGTGATACCGCAATTTTAGCCACAACATTCTTGAGCAAATAGGATGACATGCCAGCAGACTAGTAATGAAGGGTTGCATTGTTTAGTTCTGAATACCTCGTGCAAGAGCTCAAGAAACGTTCTCGAGGCCTTTTTAGCATTCTCTAACGCTTTAGCCTGACGAGTTTTCCGTTTCGTACTCTTAGACTGTTTCTTTTGATAAACTGCAAACAATTTGAAAAGCTAAGGTTAGATAACCAAAACCAGATGCAGGCATAAGAGCAATGAGAACCAGACAGACTGTTCGGGTAGAAACTGGAAGCATGACACGGGGGGTTACTCAGTCAAAGAAAAATCAGGAAAAAATTGGGTTTCCTGACGAGCTAAAGATACATGTAATAGAACGAAATCAATTGGGAACGGAATTAATTGCTCTTTCCTTGTCGCAGTGAGAGAATCATGGTAGAAATAACGGACTAGATGATCACATACGAATGTACCGAAAAAGGTTGCTAAAAAGCTAGCTACTTGAATTAGAGCAAGAGAATGTGAATGAAACAGACAACCTTGGTCATCATCGTCATCAAGAGAAACTTCATCATCATCATCATCAATTTGCTGTACTGCCTCCGTTGCAGCATTGTCATTTTCCAAAGCATCCAGCCGAGCTAGTATCGCCTGCGCCCCACCCCAAAGTCAAAGCAGTTTAATTTAATCACAGCCACTGCTCCAGCTCTAAACTTCATCAGTTAATTGCGTCCCGTGAACACTCCCAACACAGCCCACCCCCACCCCCACCTCAAAAAAAAAAAAAAAGCTGAATATACAATAAGTTTTGAATATTGTGGACCTGAGTTCGATTATCGGAGCTGGCAAGTGCAGCCGCCATTTTGGGAGCAATCTTGCGGGACCGAGTAGACATCCTTCGAATTGAATTCGACCCATCTTCCTCCATTCCTTCCTGCTAACCTAAATAAACTTTTGACAAAATTGAGAGGAAAACTCCACCTGACTTTCAACAGTTTAATGAATCGAGAGAGAGAGAGGGTGGGTTGAGAACTGAGAGGGTTTTACTGAATTTCTGTCACGACGGCCGGCGGGTGATATCCAGCTCCAGTTTTTCAGCACTACTCGTGTTCTGTCCAGCCGTCCGGTTCAGATGAATAGTTAACCGATTGTATCAAACGCGTTGACTGGACTCTTTAGATGGATGCCCCGCCGTGGACTCGGAAATTGCAAACCCACAATATTAGAGCCCAGCTAAGATTACGAGAGTCCAGCCCACGGTTGAACCTGGGGAAAAAAACGAATCCAACATCTAATAGGAATTTTTACTGTAAAACAAAAAACAAAAAATCAATTTATGGTTTGTTGATTCATCAAAATAAATTGTGACAGAGAGTGGGACTGCAAGCATACCTTGTATCTAACTCTTGTTAGTTGAACAAAATCATCAATTTTGCAAAATAAATTAGTAATAAGTCTTGTAAGTTATCAAACTGTTTTTAAAAAATTGTTTTTAAATCAGCTATCAAACATTTTATTTTAGCAGTACTTAAAAGTTTTTTTTTTTTTTTTGTAAACGGGGCCAAATTGTTGAATGACGAGTTTCAAGTTTTCTTTCACATAAACCTCGGCAGTACGGTACAACTTTCCTCTTGCTCCCTTATTTTAGGTCTCATATCACTGCTATTTTTTATTTTTTATTTTTTTTGGCGAAGCAAAGCAATGGCGGGCATTATTTTATTTTGGTTTTCTTCTGTTCCCAGAAAAAGGGAAAAGCTGAAGGAATGAAAGGACATGGACCATGAACTGTGTCCATCTACTCACTCTGGAAATGGCAATTTGCACGCAAAACACCTCACTCATCCAGCAATAGATCATCCACCTGGTTCGATCCCGGACAGTAATCCAATTGTTAACTCTACAGTGATGAAAAAAAAAAAAAATTCCAGCAATAGATCATAGAAGTCAATCCATGCATTGGCTTGCAATGAAATTGCTTTCCCAGCAAGATATGCGGACTTAAAACAGGAGAAATAGATTACTTACACATAAAGATTCAAATTCCTATTTCCACAGCTAGATAGAGTGTGAAAGATTGAAAGTGGAAATAATCCAACCACAATATCCTGATAAGGTAACAATAATAAATTCCACTTTAGATCATCTTATCATGTTCCCTCCATTAAGCTTTCTTATTTCTCTGACTTCCTTTACAATTTTTTCCCTCTGCATGCACCAATGACATTTCTTCCGTCTTATTCCATACGTCATACAGTGTGATTTAATAACCTAGAGAGTTAAAATCTGAAACCAAGTTATCAACAGTATTAAAGCTGTCTTTTTTTCTTTTTTTTTTTATCGTAAACCGTGTAATCCGACCTTTTTGCTTTGTAAAAGAAAACATTCCAGTCTGGCATAGAACTTTGAGAACCAAGAGGATTCTTCACCAGCTTTTCAGAGAAAGAATTATATGTCTTTAACGTCAGTATTGCTGTAGTGGGATGACGTAAATTGATCTTTATTAAAGCTCAAACAACTGCTGCAAATTCCAATCGGGATAAGTGAATAAAGCTGGGACTGGGAGGAATTGAAGAAGATGCTGATCATGGTAGGCCGGAAACCTTATCCTGATGGAACTTTATACGGCGCAAAGTTAATGCTTCAGTAGTCGCAGTGGCACAGGATGGTGATGGAAGTAGTAATATTCAATTACAAAAGGGAATAAAAAGGACGTCTACTTGGTCTGTAGTCAGTCTCCTTATCAATATGTTATCAGAAACTTTTAGTCGATGATATCTTTGATACGTCCCCATGAGTTACCCTGGAAGTTAATGCTAATTAAGGCGAGCAAAACAACCTCACGTAGTGTTTGTTTGACATTCACATCGTGTTGATTCTGGCCCTTGTCGAAACTTGGCCAGAAAACCACCCTGTTTATGATGATTGATGATGGCCGGCCGCAAGATTTCGGAAAGAGGGCTCCTCCATTGATTTGCTGCAACAATTAAGGCTCCCTGTCCCGTAGAGGTATTTCTGTAATGTTATCGAAGGCCATAAGCTTTTAAGGGTCAACTTGCATTAGATCTCTAAGCTTCAAGAGGAATTTCTTTTCTACAAGTTGTTAAAGGTTTTTCCACTCACTCTTTTCAGTGGGACACTTCCGAGGATGAGGAAAGACGATGACAACTACTGTGATTTTGACCTTTGATTCGTTAGACTGACAACTTTTTTTGGGATGGCTAGATTACAAGTTGGGGGAAGGGATGTGAGGTAAAAGGGTGCTACGGTTTCTGGAGTCAGATTTTGAATGAAACTTCAGGACTGATGGAATATCTGCTTCCAAATTATGGGAAGTGTTTTCATTCTTTCAAGGGCGGTCACAATCAAGCCAAGGTGCAACCACCCATTGTCATTTATGCACCCAGACAGGCAATGCATGTGATGGTAAAAGATAAAAGGCAACCCGAGCTCAATGAGGATTTTAGTACTAAATAATGAGAGTTAGAAGACAGACAAGACAATGCGATGAGATAATGGCTATGTACTTGCAGAAACAGAGGCATCAAAAGTAAAACATATGTTGCATCCCAAAAGATTACCAATCGAAATTATTGGCCTTTACTTTCTCAATATGCACCATTTTCGGTTCATATTGATGATTGTTCTAGGCTGCACTCAAGAGACACCGAGGAACGGTTAGTGACTTCGGTTCAGGTTTGCTTTTAGCATGGAAGAGATTGAAAAGCAAGTCCGACGCTCCCACCATTGGCCTTTTAATCTTGGGCCAGACACCCAACTGGTTTTGGTCACTAGTTTACTGTTCAAAAATCAATTCAAGACAATTGGTCGGATTCCTTTGTACTTCGACGTTCCACGTTTTCTTGTTTTTATGAATTCTTGAATTGTTTAAACTTCACGTTAACTTGGATTTTATATCCCACGTTTTGTGTTCGATAATTTTTAAATTCATACAAACTTTTCAATTCGACAAATAAATAAATTAAATTTAAACGAAATTTGAAAGTCATTAAAATAATCAAACAATTTTAAATACTAGAGTGTTCAATTATTATATTTATTCACACCTTGACAATAATGAGAATATGATGGACCTAAACACTGTTGTTTGGGTTGAGAGTTTGGGATAATATCGTTAGGAGAAACATCTCGAGAAAATCTATCAAATAATCTAATACTCCCTCCGTTCCTTATTAGATGTCCTAATCCATTGTTTCTTTTTATCTGTCATTTTATGATATCAAGAAAGCATTTATGAACTTTTTTCCAAATTTACCCTTGCTTACCCTTTCAACTTTCTTGAATTGGAACTCTAAATAATTAAATGCAGTATTTGTAGCATTAACAATAAAAGTAGTTGAAGAGATGAAGAGAGATAAAGGGTAATTTTGAGAAGTAAAGTTAAACTTTTGTTGACTTTTAGAAAATAACCAACTTTCTTAATCTAAGAGAATTAGTTATTCAGGCCATCTAATAAGGAACGGAGGGAGTATATAAGTTGAAAATCTAACTATGACTCAAAAACTTAAACTATTAGATATTAAATACTTATTTACATATTAAATACTCTTTCCTCTCTCGAACTAACGCAAACATAATTCTTTACTCATATGAGCCTAACAAATCCTAAAAAATCTCATTCCCCATTTAAAAAAAAAAAAAAAGATAATGAACAACGCCACGTTGCCGACTAAAAAGATCACACTAACTATAATGAACACCGTCACGTTGCCGACCAAATGATTAATTCCGACAGGATTCAAGTTTTGTCTTGTTTTAGTAATTGATTGACGGAAGTAGTAAAAGATTTTTTTTCATATATAGGTCGGTGAGGCAAAGCAGATCCGGGAGGTTTACGTGGCTCCGCTTTAGCTAATTTGATCCATCATCAAAGAATCAGACCGGTACTCCTCTCCCCGAAGATCGACAAAGCATTAGTAGCTGCTGCTAGTTGGAAACTAGAAAGCCATGCATGTTCCCAGAAACTAGAAAGCAGCAGCAGCAAAATAGCAGCGGCAGTAGCAGGAAATTAACTGGGCAATGGTGATCACCATCAAAAGGGCACCTGTAGTGTTGGTTGCCTCGTATTCCTCCTCCACTATTGGGATTTGTGTGCACTTCCACAGTACTGGCCCCTCTCACATCCGCTAGGCAACGTTACCTTGTCGAAAACGACATTTCAACGTCTCAAAGGTAGTCGAGGAGGTAATAAATATTACAGAAGATACCTTACTCCCATACCCGAAGACTATTGAAGCTTGCAAGCAGAAGTTTCCTCTTTACAAAGGGAAAATGATGCATTAATTTAGAAAAAAGGAATAATTTCATTAACCTCTCCTAAGATTTCTGGCAATTAATTGCAGTCTCTTCTCTTGAGATTTGTAAAATTACACTTACCTCCCTTAGTATTATGAAAAGATATAATAGTTTTGACAACTCTACATATCTTAAGTGAAAAGTGGGTGTAAAGAAAAAAAAAAAATCATATTTTGCAAATATTATATTATCTAAAAGCTCTAACCTCATCTCACTTAATACAATATATTCAATTCCTAAGTCATTTAAATGGACCTCTTACTTAGTTTTATAAATAGCCGACTAGTAGGGATGCATTTGTTAAAAACAGTTTCTTTACAACTTACACGACAAAAGGAAAAAAAAAAAAAAAAGAAACTCAAGCATTTAAAAATAATGCTTTAAAACATGGCCTAAATTTTACTATAAAAACTACCTTAAAATTTTTTACTTAGTAAGTAATGCTGATATTTGATTATTTTTTTTTATCATTCAATTTGTTTGTAAATCAAATAGGTGCAATATAGGATATTCATTAGATGTTTTGTACTTACATCACCATTTGTTATCAAAACATATACTTTTTTAGGAGAGGTTTTTATAATTTTTTAAATCTCAAAAGAGGTGACTGCAATTGTCAAAAATCTAAGGAAGGTTTCTGAAATGATTCCCAATAAAAATTGAAAAAGTTCGATGATCCATAATATTTATCCTAATCTTGGGATGCCTTTTGGGGTACCAAATCCAAAATGATAGTGGATTTTGATTGTTGAGGAAATCACTTTCCCTTCGATGTCCAAAACACTTTTTTTGTGGGTTATTTTGATAATGTTAAAGCTTTACCTATATTTATCTT